GGCCCCGGCGGGGGGGCCGGGGGGCCAGAGCAAGACCGTGACCGCGGCGGGCCAGGTGGGGGGGCGGCCGCGGCATCCTTCCCCTCCCCTCCCCGTTCTCCCTTTTCCCCACCCCGGGACCCGCGCCACAGGGTAGTCTCCCTAAGCATTGCCACCGTTCTCCCCACTCCCCATGTACACCCAGGCCCCGATTCTGCCCCGCCCCGTCCTGTCCCCCATTGCCCCCGGGGGGCGGGTCCCAGCCGAAGCCAGAGCTGAGCCCCCCCCTGCGTGCCACCCCCTCCTCTCTCCGCAGTACTCCCCAGGGATGACTATGAGCGTGTGATGGGGCGGCAGCCCCTCCTTTGCGGGCCTCGGCTTTTGTCCCCAGGGCCTTTGCGCAAGGCAAGGGTCTGAGGTCACACCTTGGGCAATTGGACTCCTGGCCAACCAAGGCTTGCGTGGCCAGAGGCCCCGCAGGAAGGACTTTCATTTTATAAAAACGCAAGGACCTCAGAGACGCTCTTAACGGTGTGCACCCTTCTCGCAATTTCTATTTGGCTGGGTGGGGGTGGGGGACCGGGACCCCTCTTCCCCAAACGGCAGGGGTGGGCCACATCAATAAATGTAACTTGGTTTTGGTAGCTGGTCTCAGATTCCCTCACTTTGGCCTGCAGCCACCCTGCTCCTCCTCTCCAGGACAGTCTTACCATCAAGGGTTGGGGCATACAGAAGCCTGGGGGTTCCAGGAGGTGCCTGGAGTTGGGGGCAAAAGCCATGAAGGAGAGAAAAGGGAGTGGGATTGAAGCTAGAGACAGGACTCAGCTGTGGGGTGGGTAGAAGTGGGGTGGGGTCACAACCCACAAGTGGCATTTAGGCTGATAGTGACACCGGCTTTATTGTCTCTGGGGGCCTGGGAAGGGTGGGTCGTGAAGCAACAGGAGAAGGGGCTGGGGTGCTGTGTGACCAGTTTCAGGTGGTGGGCATCTGGGGTGCTCCTGCCTGCAGGTACACATTGGCATTGCCGGTGCAGTCGTTGGACGCAGTGGGTGCCTGTCCTTTCTTGCCTGGCGCAGGGCAGGTGGCAGCCACAGGCACAGCTTGCCTGAAGCTGGGACTTGGGCGCTCCATCTTGAACTCCAGGAGCATGTGGTTCTGTGGCGGGAGCCCCACACAGGCCCTGGGGAGGGACTGGAACTCAGCAGGCCCAGGCCCAGGCCCCCAACCCCCAGCCCACATGCACGGCCCCACAAGTGGACATCTGGCACAGGCGGGAACCCTGAAGCCCCGCGCACCTCAGGATGTTCTCAATGCAGCTGCGCTGGCGGAAGAGCGCATTGACCACTGGGCTGCCAGGCGGCACGAGTGGCGCCTTGAAGAGGAAGCTGAGCAGCGACAGCACTGGGTGGAAAGTCTGCGGCTCCGGGTCTGCATCGGTGCAGAAGCTCACCCGCTGACACAGCTCAGTCAGCAGCACCAGGTCCAGCATGATGGGCGCGGCCAGCAGCGAGTCCTGCAGGACAGGCAGGTCAGGAGGGGGCCGGCCGTGGGTACCCCACCAGCGTCTGGACCCCTGAGCACGCACCTCGCACGTGCTGTGTAGCACCAGCGTGTTGGTTCCCCCCAGCATCAGCTCTGACGTGTATTCGTCCAGTGCACGCTTACTGTCGCCGACGTATGGCACGTACTTGATGACCACCTGGGGTGCGGCACGAGGTCGCACTTGGGCGCCTGCCACTCCCCGCGGGCCGCCCTACCCCCCGCCCGCGCCTGCCCCAGCCCTCACGCACGCAGTGGTCAGGCTCCTGGCCTGGCGCATAGAGCACGGGGTTGCTGTGCACCATGTCGTCCACCACGTTGCTCTTGGACGCCTCCTTAGAGCGGAACTGCGGCGGCGCAGATAGGTTCTGCCCGTCATTGTTGCCCAGATGGTTGTAACTCACGATGGACATGGTCTGCGGGCACAAGAGACACCGCAGCACCTGCAGGCCCTGCGGCGCACAAGCCAGGTGCTCAAGGTCCAGGCCCCCCTCCTGCACCTTGCACACCGAGGCCCACGCACCTTGAGGCCAGAGCCAATAAGGAAGTCCACAAGCACAGACTTGACCTTGGTCTGGCCTGACTTGAAGTCATCGCCTCCAACGAAGACACGGCGCTGCCACGCAAGATCCAGCGCACCGGGCACCAGCGTGTTCTGTGGAGAGCCATTGAGGAATGCACAGCCTTCCAGAATGCTGGCCACAGCAAAGAGCGTGGACGGCGACACCTCCAGGCCAAGCTGAGGGCACAGGTGGGCAGTGAGCGCGGAGGGGTCTGTGGGACTGACCCGACCCCACTCCACCCCTGGTGCCCGCCCACCTGGATGGTACGCAGCAAGTTCTCAGCCGTGTCGTTGAGACCTGGGACCACCTCGCAGAAGCGCTCCGTGTTCGCCGTCCACAGCACGATAACCTTGTCCAGCCCAGCGCTAGACCGGAAGTCGCAAATGTCTCTGCGGATTTGCTCCAGCTGGGGAGAGGTGGGGAGAGGGCAGAGGAGGGCGTACAGGTCCCATGACCCGTAGAAGCCTGGACCATTTAGTTCCCCAAGTGCAAAGGGAAGCCTGAACTCGCGGGATGGAAGAAGGGGGAGCGTGGAGGGGAGCAAAAAAGGGGGAGGGCGAAAAACATGTCAAAAACGAGATGCGGGAAAGGGCAGCACCTGCTGCGCACGCGTTCCCGGGATGAGGTTGTCGGCGCGCGCGCTCTGATTGGCGGCGATGAATTCCGGGATGTAGACCGAGGGTCGCGGACGCAGGGCCTCCATGTGCGGCCACAGCTGCTCCTGCAGGCCCCAATCCAGTACCTGCGCGCGCCGCATCGCCTCGGCCAGGTTTAGCGATGAGATGTCCCAGCCTGGGGGAACCCTCAAGCTCGGCCCGACCCCTACCCAGGATGCCCCCCAGACCCCACCCCGGCGCCGTCCCCAGCCTAGGGCGCCGCCCCCAGCCCAGGGCCCCGCCCACCGTCGAACACCAGGTCGTTCGGCGCCACCATGGGCAGCAGCGCGCTGAAAGGTACGAACACCTCCCGGCCCTCGGCGTCCAGGCCCAGGCTCACGGTGCCCGCCTGAGTCAGCGAGCCGTAGTAGTTGGCCTCCTGGGACAGCAGGCACACGGGTGAGGGTCAGGCGTGGCAGCGACCCAGCCCGGCTTCCCCCGCCCGCCTTCCGCGACCCTCAGGCTCCGCCTGCTTTCCGGGCGCTTTCGGTTCCCGGCTCCGAGCCGGGGCGGAAGCCGCCCCCTCCCCGCCCCGAGCCCGCCGCACCTTAGGCCCCTCCCCGCTGGCGAAGCC